GATACAATGTTGCGGTCCGGGGCTGACTGACAGCTGGTTTCTGGGGGTTTTTTTAGCTTCTTATTTGCAACATAGTACATAGTTGCTTAGAGTTGCAACTCAGAGGCCGGCAAGTGTTGGAGTCTGCAGTCACTGAAGCAAGCAAACCTCCCTGCTCCCTTCAGTGCATGGCTGCTGGCCGCCATCTTGGCTGACAGTTAATTTGCATAAGGATACGCTGATTAGCCAATGGGAAGGGTAGCGGTCGTACGCCAATTACCATGTTTCTCTTTTATTAGTATAGATTGCTTCCATTGAATTATACCCAGGCACGATCTTTTCCTTTAATCACCAAAATATGTGTTAAATTTACATGGTATACACCTTCTTGTAACCACTCAGTATTGTATATATGTGTTCTTGGCCCAATTTTCTCAAAATGAAAGAGGATTCCCATTGCTTTCAGTCTTAATTTCTTAAGATTCCAAATCAAATATACAGTGTAATAAAAAGATGTTGTTTTACAATTAGATTAACCATAAAAGAGACTGGGCTTCAATAGATGCTAAACCAGAAATCCCTGTGCAATGAAATATTGCTTAAAAATCATTGTTCCAAACAACCCTAAAGGGGAAAATTGAGAAAAGTTTTCTTATGGAAAAACTTAAAATGGAAATGTACAGACAGAAGATCACAGTGGAAATGGAGCTCACTAATAAAAGCCATGTGGGTCCATCCATGTTAATGGAAAGAGCAAACTAGTAGTATATACAGGGATACCGCTGTATGTCATTCTTCTTCCAGTCGCTACTGAGTGTGTGAGGCCATGGATGACCAAATAATGACCACATTGCCCACTATTGTAGTGATTGGATTTAACAACTTTTGGGTTGTGGTTTGGTTGAGATTTTAATTTTTTATTTAGATGGTAGATATTACTTGTAAAATACTCTAATTTAAAAGTTACATTAAAAATTAAAGCACATAAAGTACTGCAGAGGGAATATGGTCAATAATATTGTAATAACTATGTATGGTGTCAGATGGGTACTAGACTTATCAGGGTGATCACTTTGTAAGTTATATAAATGCCTAATCACTATGTTGTACACCTGAAACTAATATTGTATGTCAAGTGCAATTGAGAGGTAAAAAAAAATTTTCAAAAATAATTAAGCCACAACTTCATAACACACATTGTCTTTTCATTGCTAGGGGTAATAACCTTGGAAAAATACCTTTGGGTTCCTCTTTCCAATTTATAAATAAACTGGTAATACAAATGTGTATTTCTTGCCCAGTTGTTATTTGTATATCCGATTTTCAGCTTTATTGAAGAACAGGTTTTACTTATCCTTTGTTTCTGAAAGCGTTTCTTTTACCTAAAAAGATATTGCAAATACTGTTGCATTTTCAAAAATAAGTATACAAATGCAAGTTGCAAAGCAATTTGAGGAGACAGATATGTCTCCTAGTGTTTAAAACTGATTTTGAACGTATCATCTCTCTTTTTAGCTTTTGGTAAAGTACATGGTGCATTTAATGCTAATGACTAGGATAATGATGATGAAGGAACAGCAATCAACCAAATGTCTGCTTCCCTGACAAGAGCTTAGAGAAAGCAGTCAGGCATGGCCATTCG